GAACTTTTTACATCAGTTATCTCTGTCTCCCTGTGCTCCACACTTATTCCATGAAAAAGCGGATATGGGAACACTCTGGTCTGTCTCTTTAAGGTCATGTATCTGAGAACTTTCTGTAGGACCACATAGTGTGTGTGAGACTGATGTTCTTGTAGAATAATCTGTAACCAGTAATAGGAAAAATATCTCAAACAGCTTTCTCTGTTATTGTCTTACCATTTATTTACTTTCTCATGCCTTGATTGACAGTGGTCACTGGTATATCTGATTTTGTTCATAACTCCTTGGAGCAGAGACTTACTGCCTTTATTTGCCTTTTAAGGCACCCCGTGCACTGCTGACACTATTACTTTTACCAGTACATTCTATAGTAGCTTGGGATTATGTTGTAAAGAGTGTTAGTTAAATAGCTTGACTTTGTCTTGTTCTGAAGATAAAGTTTTGGTTGACTTAATCCAGAAAAAAACAACCAAACAGTTTCACCAATGCCTTAGATCAGAAATCTCAAACTGTACTCTGAATATCTAGGACTGTCCTTTTACTGTGGATTATTGAGTGGAATCTTATCTTGGTGAATTATTTTTCTAAGCATCACCTGGAATTTGCAAGGAGATCATGAAATACAGCAGCAGAGATAGTGAGGAGAACACAGCAGTTTTTCAGCCCTGATCTAATTTGGGAGTTTCAGCTGCTTTTAAGAACCTGCTAAAACTATTTTGCATGATGGATCGTATGATAAGTGTTTTAAGAGTCTGTACAAGGTTTTGATACTGTCTTAGTGTATTTTTTCTTTAAAAGTGTATTTTCTTTTAGGTTATAGTTATTGTGAAAGAAAAGAAGAATGGGCACACCTGCCATTTTTGTTAATCTTTGGAAAATAAAGTCATGGTTTGGCTGTGTGTCCATTTTAGTTTTCACAGCAATCAGGTGCATGGCTTCTGTCCCTAATTTATGTACCTCTCCCTTCTCAGGTGATTAGCTTGGCAGTCCTTAAATGCTGGCAAGACTTTCTTAATTTCAAATTCCTTATTGTTAATAATTATATTATAGTGTTATCCAGAGGACCTTTCCAAAAGATCAAAGATAAGGTAGAGGGTTAAACATGTAGTTACAGTGCCCCATAAAAGGGATATATCATAAAAGGAAGTTTAAAGGGCCAGGGAGAAAAATAATGTTGATACTAAGTATTTCTTACAGAATGAGGTGAGTGAGGATGCCATGGAAGAAGGAAGATAAAGGCCAGCAAAGTAAGGAGGTGTGAAGCGTGTAGGACATGTTTCTCAAACATGATGAAATGGAAAGAGATGGAGCTGGAGGAAGGATCTAGGAGAAAAGTCATATGCTCAAAATGACAGGACTGGAAAAAGATCTCATTGGGGCGTGGATGGAAGGGACTTGATTGATTGAAGTGATAGTGAAGAGAAGGGTGTGACAAGTGCTGCTGAGAGAGAACGCATATATTAGTGGCAATCAAAAAAAAAATTTATTTGGGAGATACAGAGGATGCAGTGGCAAATTTGGAGTCAGAAAGTATGTGGTCCGGGAGGGAATGGAGTCCAAAGTAACTCTATAAGACTGGAGCTAGTAGGATAACACGATGAATTGGTAGTATGAAAAAAAAAAAGTAGGATTTTTTTTTTGGCTGTGTCATATTTAATATGATTACAAACCAAGTTGGTGACAGAAGTTGCGATGTGGGTTTGACTCACAGATGTAAAGACTGTTGATTAAAACCAGGCAGGCAGGGTCAGGGCCTAAAGGTGGAGGCTGCAGAGCCACCACAGGTTTTTGGAAAGGAGAAAAGGGTCTCTGTGTAGTGAGAAGCACAGTGAAATACCAACAGAGCATTAGGACAATACTGTGGCGTCACAGGAGATTAAAATCTCCAGGAAGGTGAGATTGTGGTATATAAATGGTGTCATAAGTGTGGAGGATTCTGAGCTAGTCTAGATTTTGAAGTTTGATTGGTCATTGGGGTCACTGAGGATTTGAGTGGAATTTATTTTAAATTAAGATCTTAATTCTGTAGCTATGAAAGCTTTTGGTGAACTCTAACACGTTTTCCTCTTCCCTCTGACAAGTGCTTCAGGGGAAGGCTTACAAGAAGGGTTACCCAGGGTGAAGAGGATGAAAAAATCCCCTTGGGAAGATTGTTTCACACCTGGACTTAATGAAACTGGGTTGGAACTCTTTCTTGTTTACTTCTTAGCATAAACAGCAATCCTTGTAGAAGACACTTTGCTCACCTTGCACCCACCCTGCTGAATCATTCCACCAATTTATGATCTCCTTAACATAAGTGGGAGTAGAGTTATTCCCTAGGAGAGGACGGTTTAACTTGTTTCTCATTTATGTGTTTTTGATTTCTGAAGGGAAAAGGCTTTTCTTTAAGAGAGTCTATGTGACAAGGAGAAACTGAGCTCACATGTATAGAATAATATATCCCTCAATTGGAGAGATCTGTCATATTTTCCTTCTGGTAGCAGCAATTTTTGCCTTCTAGTAGGTGTAACCATAAAATTACAGATACAGTCAAAAGGCCAAGAGCAAAGCACTCCTCGTATGATTCTGAGGGCACCTGGTCTTCAAATGTCGGTACCAAAGCTGAGGACTATGATATCAAAAGAAATAAATGAGTTTTTAATTTTAAAATTAATTTGCAATCATTCTGAAATGTTTCAAGAGCCTATTAACTCTTTAATGTTATGCTTACAGTTTTTAACTGCTGCTGTGGTTCAAATGCTTGTCTGGAACTTGTGGTTAATCGTTTGTGTGCAAATCCATGTCAACCAGGAAAAAAAAAATTCACTCATCAAGCACGGCTTTACCAGCATAACTCATTGTTTGGATGAAGCACTCCCAAACGAAGAGTGCTTTTGTTAACTTTGCTGATGTCGTTCAGAGAAGTTGTGTTGCCGTGTCAGGGGGTAAAAACTTTCACAGAATGTGTGGTGCCTGTGTTAGTTGCACTGATGCTGGTCTGTGATCTGAATGCTGTCTGAGGGTTTTGTTTAGTCCTGTCTTTATGCAGACCTTCCTGTCTGCCTTTAGGTGAGTTACTTTACCATGCCTATGCCTTACCTTTAGGTTGAAGAAGATAATGCTTCCTTATCCCTGCTATTTTATGTCTGATTGTTACCAGAGCTAGGTGCTCCATATATGTTGGGTAGATCTTAATAATCACATTATCATTTCCTTTTCAAGGTAGAGTTCAAAAGCCGCCTGCAACAGTGACTCAGGCAGGCTGGTTTTTGATAGGAGCAGTGCCTACTAACAGGTCGAGACTTGGGGCTGAGCCTTATAAAAGGCTGTATTTAAGCCTGATATGATGAAACTTGATGTCTGTGGCCAGCTGTAGAAGTTATATTGGTCCTTGGCTTATAACTTTCTTTTGAAGTAACAGTAGATGACGTAGTTGATGAATACAGGAATACACTGTGGATGAGATTCAGCTCACTTAAGATGGGATTTCTGCAATGTAGACATTGACATCCGAGCTCCTTACTCACCTTTCAGTCAGTGAGGAGAATTAGGCCCTTTTAGGACACAACTCATCTTACCTATTCTGGACATCTGCTTTAGGATGCCAGTTTCCTTTTTCTCCCTAGTAATTATAAAGAGAATCTAGCTGTCTAGCTCAGATGTCACTGTCTACAACAGGTCAGGAGAGCTGTTCTGCATGCCCATAACTCTAGCTGATGACAGTGTGATACAGAAAAAGACGTGTCTTTGGCCAAGCAGATGAGTATACCTACTTGTATTCTTCAGCTCAAAGGGGCTTCAGGAGAAAGAGGCATGAAGTGGGAAGAGCACCTTAAGGTAGGGTGAGAAGACCCATTAGAAGCAGTTCAGCATCTTGTCCACCTTCTTAACCAGAAGAAAATGCTTTTATGTCTCTGGGAATATAGAGGACAAGTTCTTGAAACCAATTTTATCTGATGGAAGTGGTTAGGACAGGTCTCAGTTAATTCCTGTCTTTCTTACAGATGGAAAACAACCTCATAATAAATATTGTTCTTCTCAAGTAAATCTGTTAAGGTAATGAACTGTAACATGTGCTTTATTTTTTTTTTTTTTTCCCCCTAACAAGCCTTCATGTGCTTGTCCTAACCTGATGGGGGTGTTGGCTTTCTTGTAAGTGCTGCTGTGTGGGTGGAAAACAGCAGTGCTCAGCTTTTAACAGGAAAAATGCTTCATTTTGCGTGCTCCATATCCTGCCAGCTCGGAGATGTGAGGCTGGCAATGAACTCGAGAAACTGGGCGGGTTGAGGCTGGGCAGGTTAAATGTTCGGTGAGTTTTGTGGGAGGGAGTGGCGGCTGCGTTGCCTGCCTGTTTGGTCCCAGCCTTTTTTGCAGGTAGTCTCAGGAGTAGTACTCACTGCTGCACCCCAGTTCTGCCAGTTGTGACTCTGCCCAAAAATCCAGAACTAAGAGAATGTGAGGGAGGCGTAAGGTTTAGCCAAAACTCCTGTATTTAAAAGGGTTGGTATAGCATTTGGATTTCATATAAACTCTTCTGGTCATGTGCTATTAAGTGTCACGTTTCCGCTGTGTTCTCTGAATCACATTTTCTGAGGCAAAAGTATGTTGGTTAACATAAGCAGCTCAATTTATATTTTTTTATTATTTGTATGTATTATTGTAAGTAGTAAGTATCAAGCAAACTAGTGTGTACAAGTAGTACATATTGTATGAGAAAATGTATTAGTTTATAAATTTAAAAATAAGACACTGATACATTCCGACAGTATATTTGGATTATGAAGTAAAGCAATCATAGAGATGTGAATAAGTGTTTATACTGAACCATAGGAAGTCTTGCATAGTAGGTGAACACTTCTGGCAAACGGTTGTGTTTCTGTTTTTGCAACCTAACTGCTATTTCTAGCCTTAGTTTTTATTTTTTAATATTTATTTTTAATTATATACAAAAAGCAGGTAATTTTGCATTAAAACCAAACATTCACAAATCTTCCTTCCTGTTCTATTTTGCTGCTTAGGAAGGAGTAATATCTCCTACTGATCTAGACCTTGTGATGTCTGATGGATTGGGAATGCGATATGCATTTATTGGACCTCTGGAAACCATGCATCTTAATGCAGAAGGTAGGTAGTTTAAAATGATATGAATATGAAGGGAAGGCTTACATTGCACAAGACTCTGGAAATGTTATACAACAAACTAGGTTAGGATTGCTGCAACTATGACTCATCTTAGTCTTTACTGTAATGATAAGAAAAGGAAAATTCATCATAAACTTGAGGTCGGATGGAAGGAAATGGATACTGACTATTCTACTGTAAGTGATCAGATGAAAGATGAAAATCATTGGAAGTGTGATACATTGAAAAGCTGTGTACTTCATTTTTTCCAAGATTTGTCTCAGTGCTTTGCAAACATTGCTGTACTCATAGTTCAGGACTGAGTGTCAGGAAAAGAAAGTATTGAAAAAGTTCATCTGATAATCCAGTGCCAACAGAAACTCACTTTCCGTAGATGAGTGCTCCCTCCCCCAAGAATTTGTAGCAAAGGCTCAGGGTAAATGTCACTGGAGCTGGCTTGCTTTAAGTTGGCTTAAACCCTGAGTGAAGCAAAATTGCTTCTATCAGCAAAATACTTGTGTACAAAGTTGACTTGACAAAGCAGTCAAGTAACAGTGTGACATCTGACTTGCATAATCAAGACAGCTTTGTAGATGTTTTTGGAACTGTATACGTGAATTCCAGCTAAATAAAAAGTGAATTGCATAAATCGAAGTAAAAATTGTGGATCAGGGTTGCAAAGGTTTGAGCAATGAATTTAACAAAACATGAAAACTCCAAGAAGTGAAGATCAACTAGATACATTTTTTTAGCTCTTTATATTATGGGCTGTGTCTTTATTCTGGTTTTGTATGGTCCCTGACATGGTAGGTCCCTGCTCAGTTACTGGATCTTTTAGGCACTGCTGCAACACCTAATAATACAGTGGTAAAATAAAAAGTAAGAAACCAAGATCATAGAATATCAGTGCCCAATTAGAGTGTTATTTTATGTCTACCTGTTGGTTAGTTACTTGGCAGAAACTTAATGTCTCTTAAGGCTGACTAAGCAATTTTTACATGAATGTGGAATCGTGAATCCTCCACCAGAGTCTTTCAGCTTGTCAGTTTGGTTGTATATCGGTAAATTAAATGTCACAAAGTGTTTGGTTTTGTATATTGTTAGGTAAACAACATCCACCCTCTAAATAGAGGTACCTTCCTAAAAGTTTCCTTCTTCTGATCTGTTAATGCCTGGCAGTTTCTAGTCCTGTCCAGTGATTTTAGACTCCAGTGTACTAGCCTTAAACACAGCAATCTACTTGGAGTCTTGCAGGCCAGGGTTGTCCAGTCCTGCCCCCACCACTCCACCAAGATGCTATGCCATCCTCTGCAGGAAATGTCCATGCACAGAGTCTCCTGTCAGAGTTACTTGCTGAACTTTCTCTACTAAAGCATAAAACCAAAACAAAATGCCTGTTAATACCAAAGAATCTGTTTTAGAGATCAAATCATACTTGTGAATCCTTTTTTTTAATCCATGTTTTAGATTCCTTAATTCTAAAACAATGTTTACTTGAGATGAATGGAATCGTATAAATTATCTGGGTTGGTTTTGATGCTCTTCCTGGAGTACCCTTGGGCATTTGATGTTCCGTCATTATCCAGCTTAGCTTCTTTTCTCCCATTAGGAAGTAGTCACTGTTACAAAAACACTTAA